AAGAAAAAGGAAAATATTACAGCAGCTTTATTTGGAGTAACTTGGCACTGAAAATAAACCAAATGTTCATCAACAGGAAAATGAATATACATTTTTAGTATGTCTATATCATATTCTCTTCTGCTGAATAGTAGTAGGCAAATACATTGAAACAAACTGCTGATCCCTATATCAACTTGTATAGGTCTCAAAAACTTTATGCTAAGCTAAAGAAGTACATGCTGTCAGATTCCATTTATATGAAGTTCTGGAAGAGGTATAAGTAATGGGGTAGAAATCAGAGTAGTGGTTGCCCTGGGGCTGAAAGGAAGAAACAGGAGAAAACTTTGTGGGATGATGGAAGTGTTCCATATTTTGATAGCAGGTTGAATTACACCAGTATAAACATTTAGCGAACCATGAAACCTACACTTAAGATCTGTGCATTTTACTATATTTGAATTTAATCTTGGTTTTTAAAAAGTTGTATTGTACTCTGGAAAGTTTGGAAATTGCCTCTGAAATCAGATATAACCTTATTTTGGCTATTTCTAATTTGTTATCAGCTTAAAGATTTCTTGTTTTAAAGAATATCAGACCTGCGACACTCCAGCTTCCTTTCATTTTCCTTTCTCAGAATGCCCATGTCCTGTTGTGCCCTTATGCATGCTGGCTCCTGCGTAGGTTCTCTGATGATTAGACCCTTAAGGTGCTAAGATTTTGCCTTAATATTTTAAGACACAGCTGATAAGATAAGCAGGAGTTGGGACTGTGTGGAATCATAGAAATGGTGAGGTTTTTAGAATTGGCTTGATCTGGGTTTGAATCCAAAGTTAGAGTGCTGTGTGGCCTTGAATCCATCCTTCTGAGCCTAGGTTTACCTTTTTTCAAAGTGGGAATGATATCACTTCCTTTGTAGCGGTTGTCAGAATTAAATGAGTCAGCTTGGGTAGGATAGCCATCCCTGAGCTTGGCCCTAAGAGGAACTAGGAAACATGGCAGCTGCAGGTTCTGCCCTCTCTCCTGTTCCCCATTAGGCAGGGTCCCCTTGGGGCAGATCACCTGCTAGAGTGCTAGATGCAGTTTTCCCTTGTATGTCTCCCCTTGTTGAGAGCAGAAGTGGGGAATCCTGCTAGAAGAAACTGACTTCAAACAATTCTTACTATGTTTTAACAGTGTCAGCATGGAAGCCATGAATGAAAATAAAATGGTGTCCTCTGAGTTTAGCATAAGACCAGTGGAAAAAGCTGGTAAACCTTTATGGTTTAAGGATCCTAACTTTGTGGTAAGTTTCTAAGGTATTTTCTTTAAATACATAAAAAAAACAATCACATGTTGGCTACTGATCATGCTAGGCCTGTAGCTGTGGTGGCTCTGGTGTCCCCATCTTCAGTCTAAGTTGCAACCTTTTTCCCCATGGGCTGTTATAAGAGGGAAGGGGCAGGATAAGAAGGATTCTTCCTGTTGATCTTCTACTGTGCCAGACCCCAAGGACTTTGGTGCCCTTTGTGGAATTCATTAGAGGATAACATCTTTTTTTTAAATTTTTTTATTAGTTGATCAAAACATTACAATGTTCTTGACATATCATACATTTGATTCAAATGGGGTATATAATCTTATTTGTCCACGTGTACATATTGCAGGATCACATTGGTTATACAGCCACGTTTATACATAGGGCCATACTAGTGTCTATTGTATTGTGCTGCCCTTTCAATTCCCCGTCCCCTCCGTTCACCTCCCATCAACTCTTTCTACCCAATCTACTGTGTCATGTTTCTCTCTCTTTTTTCTTCCCCCTCACACCATCTTACATGTAATTTTGCATAACAATGAGGGTCTCCTACCATCTTCCATGCAATTACCCTTCTCTCTCCCATTCCCACACACCTCTCATCCCTATTTAATGGTAATCTTTTCATGTTCTTCCTCCCTGCTCTGTTTTGAGTCGCCCCCCTTATATCAAAGAAGACATTCTGCATTTGTTTTTTAGGTATTGACTGGCTTCACTTAGCATAATCTGCTCTAATGCCATCGATTTCCCTGCAAATGCCATGATTTTGTTATTTTTTAGTGTTGAGTAATATTCCATTGTGTATAAATGCCACATTTTTTTATCCATTCATCTGTTGAAGGGCATCTGGGTTGGTTCCACAGTCTAGCTATTGTGAATTGTGCTGCTATGAGCATTGATGTAGCTGTGTCCCTGTTTTATGCTCTTTTTAGGTCTTTTGGGTATAATCTGAGAAGGGGAATAGCTGGGTCAAATGGTGGTTCCATTCCCAACTTTCCAAGGAATCTCCATACTGCTTTCCACATTGGCTGAACCAATTTGCAGTCCCACCAGCAATGTGCAAGTGTACCCTTTTCCCCACATCCTCGACAGCACTTGTTATTGTTTGACTTCATAATGGCTGTCATTCTTATTGGAGTGAGATGGTATCTTAGAGTGGTTTTAATTTGCATTTCTCAGATTGCTAGAGATGGTGAGCATTTTTTCATGTATATGTTGATTGATTGTATATCCTCATCTGAGAACTGTCTGTTCAGATCCTTGGCCCATTTGTTGATTGGGTTATTTGGTTTCTTGTTGTTTAATTTTTTGAGTTCTTTGTATACTCTGAAGATTAGAGCTCTATCTGAAGTGTGAGGGGTAAATATTTGTTCCCAGGATATAGGCTCCCTATTTACCTCTCTTATTGTTTCTCTTGCTGAGAAAAAACTTTTTAGTTTGAATATGTCCCATTTGTTGATTCTTGATTTTAACTCTTGTGCTATAGGTGTCCTATTACGGAATTTGGAGCCCGACCCCACGAGATGGAGATTAGGGCCAACATTTTCTTCTATTAGACACAGTTTCTGGTTTGATTCCTGGCTCCTTGATCCATTTTGAGTTAACTTTTGTGCAAGGTGAGAGAAAGGGATTTAATTTCATTTTGTTGCATATGGATTTCCAGTTCTCCCAGCATCATTTGTTGAAGATGCTATCCTTTCTCCATTGCATGCTTTGGCACCTTTGTCTAATATAAGATAATTGTAATTTTGTAGATTGGTCTCTGTGTCCTCTATTCTGTAACATTTGTCTACCTGCTTGTTTTGGTACCAGTACCATGCTGTTTTTGTTACTATTGCTCTGTAGTATAGTTTAAAATCTGGTATTGGTATACTGCCAGTTTCATTCTTCCTGCTTAGAATTGCTTTTGCTATTCTGGGTCTTTTATTTTTCCAGATGAATTTCATGATTGCCTTTTCTATTTCTGCGAGGAATGCCATTGGGATTTTGATTGGCATTGCATTAAACCTATAGAGTACTTTTGGTAATATGGCCATTTTAATGATATTAGTTCTGCCTATCCATGAACAAGGTATATCTTTCCATCTTCTAAGGTCTTCTTCTATTTCTCTCTTTAGGGTTCTGTAGTTTTCGTTGTATAGTTCTTTCACTTCTTTTGTTAGGTTGATTCCCAAGTATTTTATTTTATTTTTTTTTGAGGATATTGTGAATGGGGTGGTTGTTCTCATTACCATTTCAGAGGATTTGTCACTGATATACAGGAATTCTTTTGATTTATGCGTGTTGATTTTATATCCTGCCACTTTACTAAATTCATTTACTAGCTCTAGAAGTTTCTTGGTAGAACCTTTTGGGTCTGCTAGGTATAGGATCATGTCAACCGCAAGTAGTGATAATTTAAATTATTCTTCTCCTATTTTTAAGCCTTTAATTTCTTTCGTCTCTCTAATTGCTCTGGCCAGTGTTTAGAGAACTATGTTGAACAGAAGTGGTGAGAGAGGGCATCCCTGTCTTGTTCCAGATTTTAGAGGGAATGCCTTCAATTTTTCTCTACTCAGAATGTTGCTAGCCTGAGGCTTATCATAGATAGCTTTTACAATGTTGAGGTATGTTCCTGTTATCCCTAGTTTTTCTAGTGTTTTGAACATAAAGGAATGTTGTACTTTGTTGAATGCTTTTTCTGCATCTATCAAGATTATCAGAACTGCTGTGGCCGCCACCGCCGCCGGCGCCGGTACGCAGACGATAGGCGTTCTGTGCCCGCTGAAAGGTGAAGACCTGACCTGAGGAAGATCTGGTGGAACTGGAACTGGAGCAAGCAGGGTTGGGGTTCCTCGGAAAAACTAGCATTTCCCCAGCCCACCATGGCCGACGAAATTGATTTCACTACCGGAGATGCTGGGGCTTCCAGCACTTATCCTATGCAGTGCTCGGCCCTGCGCAAAAATGGCTTTGTGGTGCTCAAAGGACGACCATGCAAAATAGTGGAGATGTCAACTTCCAAAACTGGAAAGCACGGTCATGCCAAGGTACACCTTGTTGGAATTGATATTTTCACAGGCAAAAAATATGAAGATATTTGCCCTTCTACTCATAACATGGATGTTCCAAATATTAAGAGAAATGATTATCAACTGATATGCATTCAGGATGGTTACCTTTCCCTGCTGACAGAAACTGGTGAAGTTCGTGAGGATCTTAAACTGCCAGAAGGTGAACTAGGCAAAGAAATAGAAGGAAAGTACAATGCAGGTGAAGATGTGCAGGTGTCTGTCATGTGTGCAATGAGTGAAGAATATGCTGTAGCCATAAAGCCCTGCAAATAAATGGGGACATAAGGCATGAGCAAACAGTTTAGGTCTGGATCAACTGCAGATCTAAAGTTTGGTTCTAAGTTGTCACCAAAGCTATGGCCTTCATAAGCAACCTCATTTTTGTTTTTTTTAACTGTTTTGAAATTGTGCTGGTTCATTTTGCTGGTAGTTGGTAACTTAACCAAAAAAAAAAAATCAAGATATATAATTCTTTTTTTTTTTGATTTTGTGTCTTTCCTATAACATTCCTGTGGTTTTCAGTATGTGAGTCCAAGAAACATAAAGCTTCAGCAAATGTGATTTGTCTGAGCAAATCATTCCTTAATTTTAATAAAATGATAAGTTAAACCAGGGTTTTAAAAGATAATGTAGCATTTGGTGGTATTGAAATACCACGTTTAAGTTGAATTGCTTTGCATTAATTTCAAACTAATGTCATAGAATACATAAATTATGGTTTAAAATTGTCAGTTTTAGCCTGTGTATGGCAAATACACCTTTAAACAAAAATCATGTTATTAAAAAGCGTCAGTTACCTTGGTGGTTGTGTGGAATGATATACATTACCTCGATCATACCATTCTTTGCCACATTGTTGGTAGACTTACACCTTACATGGTGGTTTTAGTACTTGCTTGTCATTGACAGGGGGACATTGAGCTGTTGGATGAAAATGAGCATGTTAGACTGTAAAGAAGAAAAAAAGGACAGTGGCAAAGGAGGTTGGTTAACTCTAGGTTTTGACTTGAGACCTTTGTAATCAGCATAAAAAATAGAAAGTAGCTTTTTAGTTATATTTTTGCTTTTAACTTTTGTCCCCCTTAACCCCCTGGCACTGAAAGGACTGACCTGCTTTACAGGACACTATGCAGTGCTTTTTTTGCAACCATGTTGAATAAGTGTTGGCATTTATCAGTAATTGCTCCTTTTCAACCATTTTAAAGTATTTTTTTGACCTTAAAATATTACTTAGACTAAAACTGGGAATTCTTAAATTGAGTTGGAATTCTTAACTTTATATTGATTTGTTAAATTTATGCATATTTTTTCTAAAGTGAAATGAAAGTCAATCATGGAAGAAATGTTACTTTATTTAAAATTATTATTTAACTTATTTTAAGTATATGTATTTTTTCTGTTTTCTGTCTTAATTCAGTACTGATGTAAAATAGAACTAGGAAAGAATTATATAAGCCAAATTATTTTTTAAAGAAGTGTTTCAAGTGACATAACTGCACTTCCATTTTTTTTAGATCATTCTGTCACACACACACACACACACATATGTGTGTATCACACACACAGGAGTATATGTACTCATTCCAAATTTACTTGTTCCAAAATAAGACATCATTATAGAGTGTGTGAAGACCTTTAACTCAATAGTAATGATTATATTGGAGTGGAAATCATTTATCTCAGTAATGCCTTGATTCTCTAAGACAAGTTCTGAGATCTCTCCCATCATGCCTTGACCTCGAAGGGCTTTGTTCCTATCATCTAAAGAAAAATATATATGATGATGTAACTGATCTAATCAGTGACTAGAAAGAGTGTTAGGAACATAAGATCTCCAAATTTTAGTTGCTTAATTTGTACACACTTTAAAATCTTGTCTTGGCCTCAGCAAACCCAGTTAGACAAGAAGCAAGATACTTTTAAGAGAAGTGCAAGGAAGAGGATTCTAAAGCACAAGAAATATTGAGGTGTTATAGTAATTGATTTTAGTATGACATTAGCTTTTGCCCATCCAAAGCACAATTAGGAATTAGGCTAAATTCTTTCCAGTATGCTATTTAAGTATCTACTACATATTGCTCTAGTTTTTGTAGTTCTATAATCTCTAATGTGTATCTTACTTGCTACTGGTTGACATTATCCACAGGAATTCCAGAAAGTTATTAATCTGTGCTGCTTGCTGGTCATTCATCTGGTCCCACTTAGCCATACTAGAGTTCTGATTTAGTATTAGTTCTGGATTAGCATGCCCTTGTTCTTTTCCTAATTTGTCAAATTTCACATAAATATGTTTTCAATTGTGATATAAGTATGTACAAATGATAATAATGCATCTCTATCTCCATACCTTGAATGGCAAAAGTTATTTATGCATAAGTATTGCATTTTAAATACTATATGAAGTGTAAATACTCTAACATAATTATATAGATTTTAAAGATATGGGACTGTTTATTTTCACATAAGTCAATAGATGTTTCTCTAGAACAAAATATTTCATTTAGTAAAGCTTTATAAATTGTATTAAAAGGAAGCAGGGAACATATATTTTTTAACATAGAACAGAAGTGACTTCATTCTTTTTTGACATCAGAGAAATGTTAAAAGTTGATTCCTACTATTTGTTGTACTTTTTTGTAGCACAATGTTAAATATCACAAGTTACCATGTGCAGAATATAAATTGTCATGTTGATAGATTAAACAATGATATACCAAAAAAAAAAGATTATCATATGGTTATTATCTTTAAGTCTATTGATTTATGAATACCATTTATTGATTTCTGTATATTGAACCAGTCTCGCATCCCAGGGATGAATCCTACTTGATTATGATGCATAATCTTTTTGATATGTTTTTGTATCCGATTTGCCAGAATTTTATTGAGGATTTTTGCATCTATGTTCATTAGAGATATTGGTCTGTAGTTTTCTTTCTTTTAAATGTCTTTGTCTGGTTTAGGAATCAGGGTGATGTTTGCCTCTAGAATGAATTTGGAAGTTCTCCCTCTTTTTCTATTTCCTGAAATAGCTTGAAAAGTATTGGTATTAGTTCTTCTTTAAAGGTTTTATAAAACTCTGCTGTATACCCTTCCAGTCCTGGGCTTTTCTTGGTTGGTAGTCTTTTGATGGCTTCTACTATTTCCTGATTTATATTGGTCTGTTTAGGTTGTGCATATCCTCCTGACTTAATCTGGGCAGATCATAAGACTTAAGAAATTTATCGATGCCTTCACTATCTTATAATTTATTGGAGTATAAGGTTTCAAAATAATTTCTAATTATGTTCTGTATTTCTGTAGTGTCTGTTGTGATATTGCCTTTTTCATCCCGTATGCTAGTAATTTGAGTTCTCTCTCTTCTTCTCTTCATTAGCATGGCTAAGGGTCTGCCCATCTAATTTATTTTTTCAAAGAACCAACTTTTAGTTTTTTCTATTTTTTCAAGTTTCTTTTGTTTCAATTTCATTGAATTCAGCTCTGATTTTAATTATTTCTTGTCTTCTACTACTTTTGCTGTTGTTTTGCTCTTCTTTTTCTAGGGTTTTGAGATGAAGTGTGCGATCATTTATTTGTTGTTGTTTTTTTCTTTTTTTGAGGAATGAATTCCAAGCAGTGAATTTTCCTCTTAGAACTGCTTTCATTGTTTCCCATATATTCTGTTATGTTGTGTCTGTGTTTTCATTTATCTCTAAGATTTTTTAAATTTCCTCCTTGATGTCTTCTGGAACTCATTGATCATTCAGTAATATATTGTTCATTCTCCAAGTGATGTAGGATTTTTCCTTCCTTCTTTTATCGTTTGTTTCCAGTTTCATTCCATTATGATCAGATAAGATGCATGGTATTATCTCTACTCCTTTATAATTTCTAATAATTGCCCTGTGACATAATATATGGTCTATTTTTGAGACCATGTGCTGCTGAGAAAAAAGTGTAACCACTTGATGTTGGGTGGTATATTATATATATGTCAATTAAATCTAGGTTATTAATTGTATTATTGAGTTCTACAGTTTCTTTATTCAACTTTTGTTTGGAAGATCTGTCCAGTGGTGAGAGAGGTGTGTTGAAGCCTCCCATAATATTGTATTGTGGTCTATTTGACTCTTGAACTTGAAAAGAGTTTGTTTGATGAACATAGCTGCACCATTGTTTGGGGCATATATATTTATGATTGTTATGTCTTGTTAGTGTATGGTTCCCTTGAGCAGTATCCCTTTTGATTAACTTTGGCTTGAAGTCTATCTTATTTGATATGATTATGGACAGTCCTGCTTGCTTCCGAGGTCCATGTGAGTGATATGATTTTTCCCAACCTTTCACCTTCAGTCTATGTATGTCTTTTATTATAAGATGCATCTCCTGTAGGCAGCATATTGTTGGATCTTTTTTTTTTTTTTTGATCCATTCTACTAGCCTGTGTCTCTAGATTGGTGAGTTTAAGCCATTAACATTTAGGATTATTATTGAGATACGGTTTGTACTTCCAGCCATATTTGTTTATTTTTGTTACTTAACATGATTTGTTTTTCCTCTTTGAATAGTTTTTCCTTTACTGTACTACCTCCCACTGTTGGTTTTCATTGTTATTTTTCATTTCCTCTTCATGTAATGTTTTGCCAAGGATGTTTTGAAGTGCTAGTTTTCTAGCTGCAAATTCTTTTAACTTTTGTTTATCGTGGAAGGTTTTAATTTCATCTTCCATCCTGAAGATAATATTGCTGGATACACGATTCTTGGTTGGAACCCATTTTCTTTCAGCATTTAAAATATGTTGTTCCAGGATCTTCTAGCTTTCAGAGTCTGTGTTGAAATTTAAGCCGTTAACCTGATTGGTTTACCCCTAAATGTAACCTGTTTCCTTTCTCTTGTAGCTTTTAAAATTCTCTCTTTATTCTGTATGTTGAGCATCTTCATTATAATGTGTCTTGGTGTGAATCTCTTGTGATTTTGCACATTCGGCGTCCTGTAGGCTTATAGGATTTGGAATTCTGTTTCATTCTTCAGGTCTGGGAAGTTTTCTCATATTATTTCATTGAACAGATTGCTCATTCCTTTGGTTTGGACTTCTATACCTTCCTGTATCCCAATAACTCTTAAGTTTGGTCTCTTCATGTTATCCCATATTTCTTGGATGTTCTGCTCATGGTTTCTTAACAGTCTTGCTGAGCTGTCTATGTTCTATTCAAGTTGAAATATTTTGTCTTCATTGTCTGATGTTCTATCTTCTAAGTGTTCTACTCTGCTGGTAATACTCTCCATTGAGTTTTTAATTTGGTTTATTGCTTCCTGCATTTCCAGGATTTCTGTTTTTTTTTTTAATAACCTCTATTTCCCTGTATAGTTGATCTTTTGCTTCTTGTATTTGTTTATGTAATTCATTGTCAAAGTGATCTTTCATTGTCTGAATTTGCTGTCTAATGTCT